TGTGTGGACTTCAATGCAGCGCAGCTGCAGCAGCGCAACGTTCGAATGTTCCACGTCAAGTGTTGACGAGTCGTCTCTCCTTACCGTCGTAGTCATGCAGCAGCTGGACGGCAGTGAGCAGCACGGCTCTGTCCTGGGGGTCCGTGATGTGGAGCTCGTCCAGGTCCTCCTCCTCCAGCAGCCGGAAGGTGTCCAGGTCGTCGTAGCCGTTGAATAGGAAGGTGGGCAGGTGCTCCTGTCCCACGCGTTCCAGTGATCAAGAAAATCTCGATGATGATGATGATGATGATGAAGGGTTGGTTCGGGATTCGTCCTTACTCACTTTGAGGTTGATACGCTCCAGAAGCTCGTCCACAGACTGCGGCTTGGGCTGCCGGGCCTTCCTGCGCCTGCGCTCGGTCTTCTTGGGCTTGGCCCGCTCTGGATTGAGCACGTCGACGTAGATGAATTTGAAGGTGCCCACTTTGCCCCTCAGCATGCCCATCCACGTGCCCATCGGGGGCTTGCTGATCATGTCGATCACGTCGCCGCTCTGCATGAACACGTCCCGGCGGGAATTTCTTGATTTTTCCTTCACCTTTGTGTCACATAACTAACAAACTGACTGAGAATCTTACTTTGGGTCATAAAATTAGCTTGCCTACTCATCAAAAACTATGCGTGATCCAGTTAGCTAAGCAACCGATTAACCCAACAATGGATTATTGAACCAACCAACTCAGTTCACAACTGACATAACCACCCAACAACTGAGTAACAAACAGTCCAACTAATTAATTGACTCACTCACAACTAAACCACCAACTTTGTCACATAATTATCGTACTTTCTGCGTGACATAAATGGCTAGCTGTCTTGCTAATTAATAAACGGCGTTGTGTGGGCAATCCAGCTAACGAATCAACTCACTAAACAACCAATTAACTAACACACCGGCTAACGAAATGACTGACAAACTTGCTAAAAGCCACCTCCCCACTCACTGACAAGCAACTCAACGAACCTACCAAC